GCCGGGCCAAAAAAATTCAGAGAGGCCCGGGACCGGTCCGGAAGTTGATTGGTGCCGGTCCGGGCCCGGGCCGGGTCCAGTTCTATTTTTTTTTTTTTCTTAATTATATTATCCCCTACCCCCCCCCCCCATCCCACAAACCCATCTGAAACACCCATTCCAGCCCATTTAAACCCAGCCCCAAACCAAAAAAAAAAACAAAAAAAAAATTGAAAAGGCCCGAACCGGGCCCGGAACTGGCCGGGCCGGTTCTCAATTCCCTCAGCCCGTACCCGCCCCTGGTTTCCCCTTCAAACCGGGCCTAGACTCGGTACCGGTACCCGGTTCCCGGGCCGGGTGGCCCGAACCGGGTCCAAGCCTACCCCCAACTGCTTCTGCTTCCTGGAGGAGCAGAAAAATTTTGAGAATCAGATCCAAACACCTCCTGAGTTTCGAATCACATGGTACTTGTCGTATCTAACAGACTTTTATGCATGTATTTCCTTTTTTTTTACTTCATCTTATTCATAGCTTATTTAATTTAGTCCATGGTTCAATTCTTTTGTAACAAAATAATTTGTTTTAAATCAATAAATGGCATTGAAATATTGGCTCATATGGATGGTTGGCTATCGGTTGAATCAGTTTATTTGACTAAAATGATTTATTAATTGTGTGACCGCTTAAAAGATCGATATTTTATTGGGCGAGCGTGCGGATCTTGACAAATTCTCACTCGTTGATTTTGCAAAAATTGTGAAAAAAATGTTTAGCCTAGCTTTAATTTGTCAGTCAACATGGTATGTTGTAGACCCGTGACACATGCATGCATTATGCAGTTGAGACATGTAATGAGAAATCTGGGAGAAAAACTGAGCGAAGAAGAGGTTGAGCAGATGATCAAGGAAGCCGACTTGGATGGTGACGGTCAAGTCAATTATGATGATTTTGTCAAGACGATGATGATGATGATGCCTATTCATCACACAACAAGTTACACATAAAAAAGATAAACACATATATGATATACATTTATGATCAACACATGTAGGTGTTCCATAAGGAACCAACACGTTGTGACTTGTCACTTGGGACATTGGTGTAACTTATATATGACGAGATATATACAACTATATAGTGAAAATGTATTTTTATACGTAGTATTATCTATCATTGTAGGCATTATTGTGTAATTGTTACCCTTACAAATATATATACATAATAATGATAATACATATGTCAAAGACTCAAAGCTAACAAAATAGTTAAGCCTCAAAATTATTCTCATACGATAAGAGCCTTGAAACCAGAGGCGGCTTTGAGGCCAGTTCGCCAAGGCAACTGCCTTGGGCCTCACATGCCAAGGGGGCCTCCACAAACAAAATACTAAGTATAAGTATTAGGTAGGTATAAAATACGAACTAATTATCCTAAGACTTGGTTTATGGCTCTAAACATCTGTTGAACTGGAACCTGCAAATCGGCAAGCAGCAAACTAGCGACCGGCTTCTTATTTCGATTGACCAGATTTTTGCTTTCCTCTGTACCTCTATTCTTCTTCCAAGGAAATACGAAGTATTTATTGATTTACACTTTACAGCAATTGGCTGTAAATTGCGTTTTGAAAAAAAAAAAACAATTTTTAAGTTTTTACGTAATAATATTGGGTAATTGTTTATTTGGTATAATGTCATTATTATTAGTAATATATTATGTTTTGCACTAATATTTCATTATTGTAATTGGATTGGCCATTTAGTTATTTTGTCACTAATATTTCATAATCGTATATTGTAATTGACTAATAGTTAAATTTATTTATTTGTTGATTGTTTTCTATTAATTATTATTTACAAATATATACAAAAATATTTAAGTATTGGTGTGACGGGGAGTTTTTGTCATTTTCGGTCCTCCGAATATTGTGTCATTGACACTTTTGATACTCGACTTTTAATTTTTTTCAAATTTTAGTCCTCGATTATTGTGCTAGAGACATTTTTAGTCTTCAACTTCAAAGTTTCTCACACTTAGTTTCGTAAGTATTACTCCCTCCGCCCCTTATTACTTTGCTATCTTTCCTTTTTTAGATGTCCAATCAACTTTGCCACTTTACCTTTTAAGTAAAAAATTTGTTGTTCCAGTTAATTCTCTCTCCTCTGCACAAACCTCAATCACACAGTTTTTACTTTATTAATATCGTGCCGGTCAAACTTGGCAAAATTATTAGGGACGGAGGACGTATCAAATTGACACTTTAAGTCCTTCCGCTATGATTTTGACATAAAAATGTAAGAATAAAAATGTCATCTTTATATAATATAAAGTAACAGTCGTTGCACCACAACTGGAGGGAAAAATTCCGCCCAAATTAGGGTCATAATAGTAAATTAATGTAAAATAACTCCTTACCGCCTAATGTGTAGTCAGAATCTAATTAAGGTGGAGCATTTATTGTCGTATATTTTTTAATACTATGAGTTATGCATGCGGATGGTAATTGACATGGTAATATTACCATATATAGTGGGTGATGATCTTAATAATTACGGAGTACATGAATAATTAGACTGCCCACAATTTAGTACTCCGTATGCATGTACTGATGTACATAATTTAAATGTGATAATATGTTAGCGCAGCAGATATTCAATATTCAAGTATAGTTGAATGAATATTTTTATTTTATTAAATCTGTGGGCAGTTTTTGTAATAAAAATTGACTCCAGTTTCTCCAGTTTTGCTCTTTTTTAAGCACACATATTTAAAAAACGATAAATAGCCCTTTAGTAAAACAAGGAAAGTGGCGTGCAACACATTAATTTAATTCAAGTAAATTTTCCAATATTTATCCTTTTCAATTATTTTCAGTGATCAAAATGATTAATGAATGAATTTATCAGTGAGGAATAATAAGTCTAGATTGTTTGCCTTCTTCAAACGCAAATGGCTGAAATAAATTTATACCCAGAACTTATGTTTGCCTTCAAAAGAAATTGCACACTTGGCAAAGGATTAGGCGGCTAACATATACTCCGTATATAACTACGAATCAACCAAAGTGTAGAAGCCGTAAATCCATGTTCAGTATTCTCCATCGTATATATATAAACGGGTGTAAAATAGTTTACTACCCTCCACTCACATAAAATTTTTACATGGTACGATGTAATTTTTTTACATTAAGTAGTTAAAACAAACGGTGTAAAATGTTTACGTCCCCACGCTTTACACGCAAAGTGTTTACTTTACATCATAACAAACACCCCTAGGTGTGATCAGCATGTGCATAATTATAATATCCAAATTATCATAAAAACAGCCACATAAAAGACTATTTATATTTTTTGCAACGAACTATTCATATTAGAACAACAAAAGTTCTAATTTTAAAATTCACAATCGAATAATTTGAACATAAATAATACGGAGTACATTATTTCATAATTAAGAAATTTGATTTTGTTGAAATTAATTCAATATCAATACAATAATTCAACCATATAAATCAGGTCATAAATTATTTCATGCATTCGGAAAGTACGTGTGCTTCTAAATCATTCTTACGTTATTCTTGCTTTATTAATTCAATATCAACTACATAACTCACTTTTTCTTATCCCGCTCCACCTCCTCATAACCTCCTCATATCCTAATGTTAGTGAGACGAAAGTAGTTTATCTGAATGAATTGAAATTCAACTCAAATCTATATAATATAGAGTTGGTATATGTGAAATTGAGTTGTGATACGTTACCTACTTTATAAGAATTTAATTTCAATTATATATGAATAAACTCACAACTCGCTAATTATATATGAACATTTCTCCAAAATGAAAATAAAAAAATGTAAAATTATAAAACATAAGTACTATTTTCCCCCTAAATAGGGGCAATCATCTTGAAACTTTACAGTCATACATTTCAAGTATGTTAGCAATTACTTCTGTTTATGTAATAAAAACACAATACTAACATTTGGATGTTGTACACTAGCTGTTTTCATCCCGATTTAGAGCAATTTCATATTATTCAGTCCACATTATTTTTTATTTAATTATACCTGATCATAATAAAATACTTTGAATTTATTTTCTTAAGTATATCCTCATGATTTAATAATTTTTTTACTATCTTCAAAATCTTATGAACTTAATAATCTTCACATTGCTTTAGTGATTCGAATTTTCAATCCAATACATATTTTTCTGTCCCACAAATTAAACTTAGCCATATTCACTCCCCTTGATCCCTTGATCAATGTTGGTCAAATTTGACCAACAATATCTTTTTTATACGAAATTATTTGAAATTTGGAAATTATATGAAAATATTCTATTTTTAAAAATACTTTCATAAAAGTATAAACTTTATGAGTTTGACACAAATACAATACAGCGCAACTGCAATCATTGTCTAAAATTTATTATCATTGATCAAGAATATTAAATTTGACCAAATTTTATAGAACCTAAGGGAGTATAATGTCATAATATTGTCATTATTGGTGTGTTTATTATTTAACTTTTCCTACAAGAACGTGTCAAACCATTTTTATTGAACTATTTGACATGGAGTATTTATAAATTATTTATATACTACGTAGTACTTCGCACTATTTTATTAAGTTTAGAACTGTTTCGGTATATTAATGACACTGCTGTCATATTATTTGGGAATGTCATGCATGTTTTTAGACTTATCTTCTAAGTGTGCTATTATCTCTCCTTTTTAGACTACTTATTTATTTAAAAGATTTAAACAAGTCATTTTTTCTCTTCTAGATATATCCCATGCATCGCACAAGTACTTCGTCAAGTTATTATAATAGTTGAAGAACCAAAAGTGTCACTTTTATGAAAGCCGAGGGACTAAATATGGAAATTTTCAAAGAAAAGTACCAAATGTGTCTCTAGCATAATAGTTAAGGACTAAAAGTGGAAAAAATCAAAGTCGAGTACCAAAAGTATCAATGACATAACAGTCGGAGAACTAAAAGTAACAAAAAAAACCTTTGTAGTTACATTTTAAATATGGCTTTAATTATCACATTTTGTGTTTGTACTCATTTACCTTGTTTTTAGGACAATGTCTTGTATTAAAATAATTTTTGAATGTTCAACGTTTTTCGCCTGGGGCCTCCAAAATGTTAAGGCCGCCTCTGGACTGACCAGAATGTATTGGGATCTAAGGAAGCAGTTGAAACAAAAATTCTTCAATTTCTTTCTCTTAGAAAGGATTACATGCTACTTATAAAAACACAGTTCTGGTCTTCAATCCCATGTCACTGAAATCATGGAATTGGCAAGACCTGAAGTCTCAAAGGTTACATTACTCTCATAGTCCAAACACTGCGTAGCCCCAGGAATTGCTTGTGTCAACCGAAAGGGCTTCGACTCAGTTCCCTCCAGCTGAGAAGATGAGAAGGACCATAGCAACTGAGAATTGGCATGGAAGAGAAACAGAGAAATTAGCAAAGTTGACTACGGGATGACTTGTGCCAAGTTCTTTTATAAGAAGTGTCTTCCCCTTTAGTACATAAGCAACAAAAGTAGTGTCTATTGGGGATGACTTAAACCAAGTTCTTTTATAAGAAGTGCCTTCTCATTTCGTAAATAGGCATTGAAAATTACGCCCTCTCCCAAATTGATAGTCCGATTCTTTTTAGCACAAAATTTATGAAAGCGAGATTAAGTTTCTCAATTTCCCTTGAGTAAAAAATTACCTCTTTAAAAAGGAGATGACTTACCCCTAAAAGCGAGGTTAGAATGGACATTTTATACAAAAAATGTTATGCCAAAAAGGAAGTGATACTATCAATTTAAGACACCTCGGAAGGTATAGTTTCAAAGTTCTTTCCTTTAGGAAGTTTTATTACCTGAATCGGATCACTGCGTAAGAAGTTCCGTTGTAATCTCCGCCCATCGGGGAGGCGAATACTAACTCGGCAAAGGAGATTTCGATCACCCTTAGGTTCTTCAGGAAGTGGCGGATAAACAGGCTTCTTCATTATGTTTGCTATATTTTTTCCTTCAATATTGGGTTCACTGGATTCTTTTGCAGCATATATATTCGCATCTTTCATCCCCTCCATGGAAGCAGCCAATGCTAGTTTCAATTCATCATCTTCCTCTATAGCTTGATCTGCAGGGACCAGTCCATTACAATGATCTTTCATATGTATCATACTAAAAACATAAGGTAAAGCACTGCAATCTGTAAAAACTCTTGATATTCCATTAAGCTTCTCGATTGCTGACCAAATCATAAACCAGTCAGTAAGTCACCAGTGCATACATTGGTTTTCAAAGTAAATATCGTGAGCACCGATATGGGCAGAGAAATTCTCAATGAAAAATTCAGAGAGTGCAAGAATCACCCTTCGAGACAATAAAGAAGTATGGCTCACATTTCCACTTGAGGAAATATTTTGTCAAATTCATAGCATTTCCTGAAGCTTTTAGAGCTCAAAACTTGATTATAACATTATTACCACTAGCAACCTGGGATTAACTGTCTAAAAGCTTTGTAAATTAATAGAAGGTGGTTAGACAGTTAACCGGGACTTGGGAGAAATAGAGATTAGCTGTCTCGTTTCTTGGGAACTCTCTGTACCCTTTCCACCATTAATGAAAGCTTGTTAGTTTCTTGAATGTTATTTTCCTTTCTGTGAATTCATTACCTACCTGCAAGAGTTCTATCATGTTCATGCAATGAGCATTTATTTATAAGCAACGTCTGAAAAAGAAATGCAAAATCAACTGGAATACATTTAAATATTAACTCACATTTTCTCCACTTTCATCTTTACTTCTCCTGGAGTGTGATTTTTGGGGGTGGAGGTTCATAATAATCCATATAGAAGACAATAAAAAAGACAAAGTACCTTGAACTTGCAGAGGAGGTGCTTGAGGGCTTTCTCTGGGTCGCTTATGAGATTGACTGACATGATCTGATGGGCTATCATCCATGAATGGTAGCAGATCCTAAACCATCACAACATCTTTTTATCATGAGTAAATTGCACAGAAGTCAATAGATTTAGATTTTTCTTTCTTATTTTAAGATAGTTACACATTTATGCAATCACTGGCACTTGAGACAACACAAACCAAATAAAGAAAATGCACCTCAAGCAAAGTATCAGGTTGGATCATCCCACGCCATGATCGCATCTTTTGGCCTGTTATAGGGTCAACCACCAGGACAACGGGAATTGAATCTAATCTATAATAGGTACAAACCTTCCTGCCTTCTTCTGTATCATCATAAACCTGTATGGAACAAGAGTCAACAATCATTCACTAAAAGTAAATGGATAAGTAAAGAACTATAGTGACTGCAGATGATGAACTCAGTTGAGTATGTAAAGCCATAGTAAGATGAGCCCTGCAACCTACAACCATTTTGTATTCAAAACTATTAAAATGCAAAGTTTACACATCATACTCTTTTGGTCAACTGGTCCTCCCTTTGAAAAAAACAATTTCACTTCTAATATTCTATTACCTCTGTCCCACTAAGATTGGGACATGAGGAGGTGGTGTGGTTATTTAAAAAAAAAGTGGGTTTATGTGGTTGATATTGAGTTGATAAAGTAAGAACAAAGTAAGAATGATTTAAAATCACACAAATTTTACCAAATATGATATGGGACAATCTTAGTGGGACGGACGGAAAAGGAAAGATGGGACAATTTCAGCGGGCAGAGGGAGTAACATTTATATTTTAAATAGTAACTTTGTTGTGTAATTCATAATAAATCTTCAGTACATGATATTCCCATATATAGAAGAAACATGTATGTGCCAACTAATACAACCACGGTTATTAAAATCAAGATCCTAGCACGGATCGGACGGGGTCTAGGAGGTCATAAATCAGACCATAAGATCCTACCATGCAATACACACACACACATACAATTCAATTCTATGCAAACACCGGATTAATATTATTAAATATAATAATAACAATAATAATAATAGCAAAAACATAATGTCAAGACTCGAGGCAATAATATAAAACACTTAACATAACAATGTCAAAGATAAACTCCAAAACATTTCATCATTATACCCCAGTGCCGCAAAGGCTCCCACGCCTTCAGTGGGGTAGGGGGGTCGGATGTATGCAGTCTTACCCCTGTACTAGAGCACAGAGAGACTGTTTCCGGATGACCCATAGTGAAAATTGCGTCGAAAATTGCATGGATGACTGACTGCTGCTTCATAACAAAGAAGCGCAGACAGTTTAGTAAGCCATTTTGCTCTATTCCATCGTATTCCAAGCCAAAAAATATTGAGCCTTTGGCTCCATTGCAAATGATGGAAAAACTCCAAAACATTTGACATAAAAAAATAAATCTTCATATAAAATCATGACTTATTGCTATCAGAACTCAAAACAATTGAACAACTAAACTTACTAAAGAAGCAGACGACTTTCAAAAAAGAAAACAACTAAAGCGGGGGAAGCGTAAGACACAGAGAACACAGAGAGAAAAGAGAAGAGATGAAGAAAACGACGAGGAACAGTGATTTAAAATGGACGAAGGAGGGAAGATTCATGGTTAGTCGGATGTTTATTTATTTTTAAAACTTGTCGTTCCAGACTTCCGTCCACCCTTTGTTTCCCGTTTTTTGAGCTGAGAAGTCACAGCTCGGTTAGATCGACGATTTGTACGAGTTACATTTCTACTTGTCAATCCGGCATTCCCAGGCCATTTTCCAATCCTAGCACCAATCCAACTCGACCTTCCCGTTTCCGATCACAAAATCGTACGATCCTGCGAGTTAGATCACGATCCTAACAACCTTGAATACGACTGACTTTTCACGACTAACTTTTCACGACAAACCTTATTACAAGTAATTCGCAACTGAGTACAGAGTACCTAACCTTCTAACTTATAAACTTCTAAATTGCAACCAACTCCAACAGTAATCCCATGCAAAGTCAAGCAAGAGTATGCTTAAGATGATTAAACCCACAAGGAAAGGAATTGGTTGGAAGGAAAATTTTCATACTGCGTAGTTTGCTTGGTTGAAAAGAAATTGTAAGGAACAAGTGTTTCAGATTTTTGTTTACATAGGATTTTGGAATAATCAGCGAAGTATGGATAATTAGATGGATCTTTTCATTTTTGAGGGGTCAATCATCCTATCTGGGATATTTCAGGGGCTTATTTAACAGTTACTCATAGATTTGTTAAACATATCATAGATCCCTAGGTAATTACTCTGAGCTTTCTCGGAGTATAAAAAATCATATGTTCTCCGTTCTTAACTAGATAACACTCTGACTTGTCTTGAAGATGACTTTCCTCTGCTGTTAACCGCTTGGAAATAAACACGAACTGGTTTTGCAGTTTTGATGCTTCTCTACTGTACAAGATATATTAAAAGCATTTTCATAACCATTACTCTATTAACTGATCTCATAACTTTATTGTAAGACTCATAAATTTATCCTTTCATAGTTTGTAACAATGTTCTAAAATACAGTCAAATGAAAACCTAGCCGGAGGTGGTGGCTATGCAAATTGCGGCTCCTGAACCATAGATGGTTCCTTTCCACCCTGATTTTGCCCTAATTGGCTTGATTAGACGGCGCAGGGCGGCCCGAGTGAGTGCACACCTTTTTATTTTTAAAAAAAAATTAATTTTGGGGGTAAATGATGTTTTTTCATTCATACATATGATAACCCTTAACAAAAGTATGTCATCAGTAGATTAGTAGATACATATTACATAAAATGTTAGTAGGATAATACTGTCTCCTTTTTTTCTGTGTTGACTAGTTGAGAACTTTGAGCTCCTTCGAGCCTGGTTTGTCGTACAAAAACCTTTGCACTTTTGACTACACATTTCCTTCAGCATTTTCATGCTCCCTTTGTCTTACTCACATCTCTAATTCGTCTTAAAATAATATCTACTTTCCTAATTTAAATAACACTAACTGCTTACATTTCTGGATATATCTTAGCCTCTATGTTTTTGAAATGATATGACAATTCCCACTTGAGGTAAAACATTATGAACTGCATTGCATTTCACGTATTTTCACCAAAAACAATGTTAAAATAACAGGTGCCTAACTTGAATAAGGAGTATCCCATTGGGTTTGTGTTCCCTAATTTTTCAAATGTTGGTACATGTCAATTTGTCCTTAACTGCCGCCGTTACATCATCATTCAATCATGTAAGTACCTCTGTCTATTGTTGTCATACCCTTCGATTACCAAAAACCAATTTGAGGCTACTCCACAAAATGCAACTATTCATCTTTATCCAAGTAGCACGACTAGTTAAATGTTCATTAACTAAGACATTTAGAAGGCTGAACTGAAAAGTTTAATCATTAACATAGTTAAATTCTAGACATCACATCATCCATCCCAATAAAAAGGAAGGGTTTAGATGACCAGGCCTGCCAAAAGATCAAGTTAGATTTTATTGTTTGAGCAACAGCTTCATTGGCCCATGTATCACGATTAAGCTGCAAAAAAATTGTTAAAAGAAAATCAGCAAGTGTGTAGCAAGACAACATTATGTTTCAAAGAAAATATGCATGTTAGAGGGCTGGAAACTAAAGATTAAGATATCTTTTAAATATGTGGGCCACCATTTACTACTTCTCAATTTCTCATTCATAATTGCACAAAACAACTCATACTCGTTCAGGTAGGACTTGAGGAAATATTCACAAGTACAATTTTTTAATTGATTTAGAAAAAAATTGTATACTTTAGTTATCCATTGGTTTAGAATGAAATTCGCCAACAGTTGTAAAAAATGTTTATTCACAGAACTAGGTGTACGATACTTGGTTAACCAGGTTCCTTTTTACACCAACTAGGAACTAGGAAGTGGATGCAGTCATGCAGATGTTAAGAAGAAGAAAACACCACCATGTGTGAGCTGAACTCTGTGGTAGACTGAAGGTTCACAAGAAGCCATTTGTTCTGAACTCTAGCAGCATCTTTTGCCTGCAACTCAAATAAATTTATTTTTGTGAACAGCTTATCACATTGATACAAATATAGATTGCAAAGCAAACTCAACCTATATGATTTGAATTTTGATTATTATCGTCTATAGAGATTAAGATATCACATTAATTTATCACCCATTTGTGTATGTGCACGTCTGTCTAGGGTTATAAAAGGTATGTAAGTTTACATGAAAGCCGCAGAGCAAAAATATGTGCACCAGCAGGATAATTCAATTATTTGTTCGAACTTCAAAAGCAATTAATAACCTTTCTAGTACAAAACAGCCTAATTTACCTTTTCAAAAGATCCATGGTACATCAAAGCAAAAGGGGGGCGATATAAAGAGGCAAGATTATCTGCTCTAGTGTTATCTGCTGCGGAAGTAGATCCTTTGTCTGCTTCCCATACTCCTTGATGTTTCATTTCCTCCTGAAAATTGCGGAAGGGGACCACTTGACGAATTTCACGTGCAGAACCACCCACCACCGGTAGTCTAAAGATAGTGATAACAGTGATCAAGAAATGAAATGATAGCAATACTGAATAATTTATGATTCCTATTAACACTTTTTATAAATAAAAAAAACTCAGATTCCAATACACAATGGGAGTAGCTGCACTAGAAGCATATGTATGGTTATATTACTTTTGCTTTAAGGAGACAACAAAGATGTTCCTTCCATAGGTACTTTATAACTTTTATACTTTAAAATCTTAACTTGAAGTCTTTTATGCATCACCAAGTACGAATGGAGAAAACGCTTGAAGCTTCAAAGAGGACAGCATGTATAGTCCGCCGAAATTCATAAATGAAGAATCTCATGATTTATACAGTGCCTGTTTGGAAACTGCTGAAATGGTTTGTGTAGCTGAAATGACATTGTGTATACTACTTTGGCTGAATTGGCTAATAGGATTATTAATTACGACAAAGGGTTTGTAATTTTCTGTCACGAAAAAGGTATAAGATTGCAAAAGAATTTATGTTAAGAATTTAAATTTTCAACAATATATATTAAAACCAATTAATCAATGACTAGTTACATACAATCAGGTGAAGCCGTGAAGGAATAAATACATGGCATTTAAAAAAAAAACAGAAAACAGAAAAATGTCAAAACTAGGAAAAACACTAGAGAGCTTAACAGAATTAGCAAAGATTTTAATGATAAAGTTAGGAAACAACAGGCACAATATGAAAAAAATAACTATCAGCCAGTGCCCAATTTGGAGTATTAAGGAAACGAATTTGTGGGGTCAAGATTTACTTAGGAAGAAAAGAACATGTTAGCCACACATTCTTTCCTAAAAATAAAATGAGAATATTATTTAGGGACAGAGCAAAAAAGAGTTAGAAGAGTGAAGAGGGAAGGAGCTTGACGAGGTATACCCCAAACCATCTGATACAACCTAGAGGTTATGGAGGATTGGCCTAATGTCTAAGATTAGCCCAAGTTCTCACCCTTCGTCTCATGACTCTCATCACTTTACTGGCCAGACGGGTATGCCTTGGCCCAGATGCCTGCACCCGGCACACATATAACTTTTAGTATCCCATATCGCCCGGCCTCTCAACTCATTCGGTTTACGGAGAGAATTTGCAGAGTTCACAAAAGCATCAGAATTTGCATTTTCTTCGGTCTTCCACTCTTCCCAATGAGATGCAATAACAGATTTGGGTATGGATAACTCTTTGACTCCAAGTCTGTAACTATCATATATCTAAATGATCTGTTTTTTATTCAGTATTAGGAATGAGATGCAATAACAGATTTGGGTACGGATAACTCTTTGAGTCTAAGTCTGTAACTAACACATATCGAAATGATCTGTTTTTTATTCAGTAATAGGGAACTAGTACTCCCTTCTGAAGTTCTGATGTACCCAGGAAAAAAAACAGTAACTTTCACCACACATTACCAAATTCAAATATAGTAGTTTGGGTTTCATTTAAAATAAGCTAGTGTTCCTTTTAAAGTTAAGTTCCACTGAGTGCAATAATTTTGGAAACAAATAAAAGTGTTATTAACACTTTAGGTCAAATTTGAAGAAGAAATTTATTAACTCTTTAACTTCAGTGTCGGCAACTCTTAAACAGGAAGGCGGAGAGGGGATAAGATTGAAAACCTATGAAAATTTATATTTAATGGCACACAAGATTCAAATAAAACCAACAAAGCTAAAACAAGCACCCAGCATCACAAAGATTGATAATAAAAAAAATTAATACATACTGAAGGCAAAGACGTACCCACGAAGCGCAGCAGTATCATAAAGAACTTCTTTTATTACAGGCAAAGGTGGCCTTACATCATCACCATCAACTTGCCTTCCACTTTCATCCCCTGATTCTTTTCTAGCTCCGCTAATTAAAATTTTAAATATAATAATGAATATATGAAAAAAAAATATCAAGCACATTTGTTATATAAGTGCTTGGCAGCTTCCAAACTAATCTGCTGATGTGAACATGTTTCGTTCCTTTTATGCGTCCCGCCGGCCCTTACACGAGACACACTCACATCATCCACCTAACAAGCTGCCATGCAATATGAATCCCCCTCCACCCGCCAAAAGATACCTCCAATTAGGATCAGGCAAAGGTATAGTGCTTGCCGATGGGGAAGTCAATGATGGTGCAGCTGCTTCTCCATCATTGCCAACATAAAAAAGCTGAATTGCTTCATCAAGCTTCCAACTTGTTGCCTTTGATAAAAAAAGTTGACATATAAATTTTATGCAAATGAAAAATACGAAGGAGGTAAGCTATGAAGAATATCCCATAATACAACAACAACAACATTACCCCAGTGCCGCAAAGGCTCCCACCTATGGTGGGGTAAGGGGGTCGGATGTAAGCAGGAGAGGCACTAAGAATAACCCACAATAAAGGAATAAATATACCTTTCTGCTATAAAGCTGATAGCAAATCATGAAAATGCCTATCTTGCAATTTTGATTATGATCAGTGCAAGAAAAACAAACCATAGACAAATTTCCAAATATATCATCCTAATATTAGTATATGAGAGTATGGATTTGAAGAGAACGAAGTGGAAGGCGCATATTCGTGTGGACAATTGATCTCTTCTCTTTCTATATCTCTTTTATCTTTTATCTATCTTATGTTCTTATATTATTTTTATCTTATCCATCTTATCTTATCTATGTTATCTTTTTATTTTTCTTATCTTTCTTCTTTCTAGCTCTGATATAATGGATAGATTCATGTTAGCCAACCCCAAGGAAGAAGGCTTGGATGTTGTTGTTGTATCATCCTAATATCAGTACACTACTCATTGCTAATGCGTTTCTGCAGGTCCAAGTAATTGGCTTATTAGAGTCTTTGGGCAAATTCAAAGTATCAAAGAGTGGAGTATGTTGGAACGTCTAACTTCCAGCATTAGAAAGTCTCTCATATATGTTAAATTTAATGCTTTTTCTTGTACCTAAAAAATGCTAGCTTTGGAATGCAGCATGCTGTCTATTCATCCACGAGCTTAAAGGTATATGCTTTGCATTCCACGTTTAATATAATCCCCCCTTTTCTTAACCCGGAAGGTCAGTTTAATATAATCCCCTATTAAACCGTAGCCCACTCATCTTATCTTGAGAAGCCAAAAGAACCATTCTTTACAGAGTCAATTAAATACACATATAACAATGACAGTTTGGTCATGATAGCATTCGCATAAGCGAAAGTGCATGTCGGGGAGAGAGGAAGAGATAAATTGGACCTGAAGAAACTGGCGGGCGGTATCGGCAGACTGGCCGGCTGTGATCTCGAGGAAGGAAGTGACTAAGCTCTGCTGGTCAGACGCAGACAACGGGCCGTCCATTGACTCTGCTTCAGTTTGGGATTTAGAGCTGCACAAACCCTAGATCAAACGACGAGAAAAGATTGGGAATCAGATAGATTCAGGAAACCTGTCACCCACGGGTGAGGAAACTATATAGAGTAAGTAATGTTATTTGTCGTCCTCCCAGCTCAGATCAGATTCTACTGCGTCGGCCTCTTCCTTCTTCAACCGTCTCACGTTTGAGGGACCATGTCTAGTAGTTTTTGTAAAGATTTATATACTCCTTATATATAAACGGGGTATATTTAAAAAAACGGGGTATACTCTTCAACGAAATAATATCTCCCTTTCGTCACATATTTCTTTCCAAAAAAAGAAAGAAGACATTTATTTTGGGACAACCCAAAAAAGAAAGTAAGACATGTAAAATGGGACGGAGGGAGTGGTAGTAAAAATAAAAATTGTACAATTGAAACTTTTAGAAATAATGGCGTAGATATTAGTCGCACACTTTCAAAAGGCAAATATATGAGTGGTTTTTAATTTTCCAGAAATCTGACTTCATTTAACCACTCTTTTCCGTCTCCTTCCTGCTCACATAACAGGGACCCTCCTGCGCACATAACAGAGAGCTTCTCTCTTCAACCATGTCCATCCTAGAAATCAACGATGGTGATGACCGGTGCCGACCACGTCACAGTCAGACTCGCCGCCAACTCTATCTTCGTCGCAGCCCGGCTCGCCGCCAACGCTGCCTTCGTCGCAGCCAGGATTGCTGCCGCTGTCTTTGTCAATGTTAATCCCTACCGCCGCCGTTGTCTTCGTCGAGGTCTGCACTCTTCTTCTTCTTCTTCACCTTACTATGGCCGAAATCGGTGGAGATGAACAGATCTAGATCTGTTCGGAAATGACCTGCAGATCTGCAACCATCGTCTATCCTGCGGCTAGAGTTTGGCTACAAGTCCGACGGCTAGGGTTTCTGAGGCGGCGGATTGGTGCGCGGCGGCTTGGCGGCAGAGATTGGGAGGTTGAGCGGATAAATGGCGGGCTGTGCTGGTTGAAGGGCTATGGGGCTGGTGGTGTTGGGAACCAATTGTGCAGGGACTGGTGGTGGTGCAGGGGTTGTGGCGGGCGGGTTAATCTGTGCTGGTCGGCCTTCCGGGTGGTGGCGGTGGTTGTCGGATAACTGGTGCGAGGTTGGTTAGGGACAGTTCAGGGGTTGGGCAGGGGGTGGGGGACAGGGGTTTGGGTGGTTGTGATGTGGGGAGGGGGGTGGGGTAGGGAGCTGGGTGGGAACTGGTGCATATGGCAGAGGTGGGCAGGGATTGTGGCTAGGTGGGGGTTTGGTCTGTGCATAGGGGGCTAGGGGGCGGGGCATGAGCAGAGGTGGTGGCTCGGGACTGTTGGGTTGCTGTTGGTGCCTGGTCGCCGGAAAAGAAGCCAGAAAATTTCATGGCGGCTGCGTCACTGTGGCGGCGTCACTATGGCTACAGTGACACAGGCGGCGACTATAGTGACACGGGCGGTGGCCGCAGTGACACGGGCGGTGGCCGCAGTGACACGGGCGGTGGCCGCAGTGACACGGGCGGTGGCCGCAGTGACACGGGCGGTGGCCGCAGTGACACGGGCGGTGGCCGCAGTGACACGGGCGGTGGCCGCAGTGACACGGGCGGTGGCCGCAGTGACACGGGCGGTGGCCGCAGTGACACGGGCGGTGGCCGCAGTGACATGGGCGGTGGCCGCAGTGACATGGGCGGTGGCCACAGTGACATGGCGGTGGCGGTAATGACATTTGATAGTGACATTATAACAGAATAGTGACATTAAAATCTGGGAATCACATTAATATGACCTTTTTGATCACTTTTTTGCCCCTTTTTAAAAGTGCTCACTTTTTTGGTAATTGTTCAAAATTTAGTAATATTCAAATAAAAACCCCAAACTTTTATATAGAGTGAAATAAGTAGAGAATAGAAATTATTTACTTAAGAAAGAAAGGCGTATGGTTTTTAAGAAAATAAAAAATTAACAAAGATTAGTTGGACGGAGGAAGTACTTGGTACATGTGTTTAAAAGTTAAAACTAGCGCTTGTGCGCGCAAAGCGAGTGAGAATATTTGCTCAATGTTAATCATGCTCTTTTTATAAGAGACTATTATATGTTAGATTGCTATGAATTTTTTAAATAATGTATAAAATTATCTTAAACTTTTGATTAGTTGTTTGATCAATTATATTCTCAATTCACCAAATATTAAAGGAAATTTTGCCTACATTTTTTAAAGCTATGTGATTCAGAGAACTGGCTATATTGTTTTGGTTTAATTATGAATTAATTGAAGTGATAATAGGATTTTATAATAAATTGTGAGAACAATGTTATTGAACACACTAAACTATGTGAATATTGAGCTAGTATATATAAGTGTAGAAGTTGAGTGAGTGTAGAAATATATAAAAACGAATTATCGGTGTTTTACAAGCAAGGAGATATCTTGTCTAGGATTGATCTATTTCTTGTGGACTTATATGCATACATTTTTTGGGTAGTTTATTTTATGTGCTTTCAAAGGCGGTGCTATTTTATGTCCTATTTTATAATCATACCATGAAGTTATTACTATTTCACATTGGCTCTTCCCTTTTGTTAGTACCCAATTTTGATAGATTTTGATGATGTCACTATAATAAACTCCTGTATGATTCATGTGACCATATCAAGTTAAAAGAAGTACTAAAAATAATAGAAGAGTACAGTATTCAAGTGACAAATTACTAATGTACAATTTTTGTACCAAATAAAGCTTTACTGGAAATATAAAATGTAATAAGGTAAATTTGTTTACCTTAAAAAGGATATTTAAAATCCAACCAGTATAAATTTATTTGATATAAAGATTAAACAGTCACTATCAACAGTCCATTGTGACAAATCCAAATGTACAACTTTTTGTGCCAAATAAATTGCACTGGAAATATAAAATACAATAAGGTAATTTTCTTTTACCTTAAAGGATATTTAAATCCTACCAGTACAAATTTATTTGATACAAAAAGCCTAAAGTCACAAACTTACTAAGTTCTAATTAGAACACGGTATACACAATACAAGGGATAAACTATACACTATACGCATATAGTTGCAGGCAAAGTCAAAACCTATTAATAGATGAATAGTGCATGGAAGGCCTAAGGTATGGGTACGCATACTGTATCCTGAAGATAAACTTGCAAGTAGCGCTGAGAAGATAAAGGAAATCTCCTTTAACCTGCTCCAAACACAAGAAGACGAAAGTACAATACATCCAACGTCAAAGATTAAATCCTCTCAACCAACGGAGGGGATTAATCAGCCGAAGATGCCTATAAATACAGGCATAAGCATGAGTTCAAAACCAAGTTTTTGAGCCTTCTAAGTAGAGTAAATAATACCGAGCATCCAAGAGATATCTAGCAAAAGAGAAAGTGCTCGATTCAAACTTTGCTCTCTGCTTAGACTCATGTTTCAATAAACTTCCAAGTTAGAATTCACATAGCTACATTCTGGAAGTTTAGTTCTTAGTTGGAGGCTATAATGTTTGTTATATCACAAATTGTTGTAAACACTTAGAAGGACAGTGTTATCTAGTCCTAAGTGTGGATGAATATAATAAAGTACCTTTTGATCCTCACTGGATCAATTGAGAAAATCTAAGGATTGAGTAGCTTGGAGTGGTGTGTACTCTTAGTGAAACACCTTTCAATCTAGGCTAGTTATGTGGTTATAGCCAGATTGGCACTAAGTGTATTGGGTTTAATACTTTAGTGGAAATCCATCTGAAAGGGGGTAGGACTGAACGTAGGAGGATTACACCACCTCTGAACCAGGATACATCGTGTGTTGATTTATTTCCAGTCAACAAAGCACACACCAAACATTTTTTTAATCAAGCAGTAGCTTGAGCAGTCACCTCGGCAGCAGTCTACTGCCCACCCTACTGCTCACCCTACTGCTAAGTAAACTGCTCGGCTAAACACTTTCTTAAAGACATCTCAATGTTTTAGAAGTCCTCTACACTCTTCATGAATATTCTAGTCTAAACTGAAGTATCAAAGTTATATATTTCCTTCGCAGTAGTCTCAGTTGTACTCTACCCTTACCTCACTACTTAGTCCACTGCTTATCAAACTGCCAAGTCAACTGCCCTCATAGAAAAGTTCAAACCTCACTCAAATGCTCCACTTGAGTTCCTTTGAGATCATGAAACTTATCTAACTGTCCTTCAGACTTTTTCTTTGTTCACTTACTAAATAGAAAGTTGTCATACATTGTTTACATAGAGGTCAAGACTTCCGTTGTGTATCTTTAATCTCTCAAAAGGTTATTGATCTTCACATCTAGTAGGGAAAGTTTTTAAACCAGAGAAAAAGCTTTAAAAGTCCATTCACCCCCCCCCCAGACTTTTACCTCTATCAGAGACCATCACCTTTAGACTTTGAAGGTTAAAAGTGTCTGCTCCTACGCCTATTTATAGTACTCTACGTTGAGAATATCTATATCCAAGGTGCAGACTAATTATTTAGATTTTAGAATTCTCCACACACTCTAGAACTCTTGGAAAAATGCTTGGTGTAAACCATTTTGTATACACCACTTGCAAAAATTGTCTGTCTACGCATAAAGAGTTATCTATGTATACTGCAAACTTTGTCTGCTTAGACAGACAATTTGTGTGAATGGTTTACACAAAATTGTGTACGTACACCAAGCATTTTTTAGAACTCTTAACACCCTTCCACTCTCTTCCATAAGGTTTTAGAAGTTCCACACATATTCACAATATTCTGCACGGTTCTGAACTATTCCACAAGCTTTTAGAGAGTTTTTTATTTCTCTAGATTTCTCATTAATATTCTAGAAAGTTCTACACATAAAAGAATCCAACATAAAAGAATGTTTATACTACGTATATATATACGGAGTATAATATAGGGATTGGTTGTGATTAGAACTATTTAGTCGTTTCAAGATGTTTAAATGAACTTAATCGTAATTGGTGCATGCAAAAAGAGATATTGTTCATGTCAGCATTCGACAACAAAAAAAACTCCAAAAATCATTAATACTAATGCGCATAATATACCTTATACAATACGTAGTATCAAATGTTGTAGTGAACAATGTGAGTTCTTCAGTTTTGCTTGTATTTGTAAGCATACCGTAGTTCATTTGAATTAAACATTTATAGCGCGTTTGGTAATACTAAAATTGACTAAGTCGACTGAATCTATTAAAAATTTCTGATTGAATCATATGAATTCGCCGAATCTCCCGAATGATGGAATATTTATATTTTAAGTATATTCTATCTATTAATAAAACAAAAAAAAAACATGAGAATAGCTAAATTTGTCTTCCACAACAACCTCAACCAATTTGGCCAAAAAAGTAACTCTAATCTTATTCATTTTGATTATTACAGAATTTAACGCGTGAAATCAAATGTTATGTGTTTGATAAAAAAGTTGAGACAAAATTAATAAGATGAAAATAGATGTTTTGAAACAAGATCTTAAATTGTGCAATTGGGATCTACTCCATGTTTTATAAATAATGAAATTCACACAATTATTTTATTGTGGTATGAACATTTTTTTAGTATGGAAAAGAGGTAAGCTTAAAATGAGTAGTGAGTGCGTTCTATACTTTAGCTCTGATATTAAGTTATACTACATCTGTCTCATTCAAAGGTTTTTCACTTTTGCTTGTATTTGTAAGCACGACGTAGTTGATTTGAATTAAACATTTAAAGTGTGTTTGGCAATACTAAAATTGACGAAATCGGCTGAATCTATTTAATTTTTTGATTGAATCAAATGAATTCGCCGAATCTCCCGAGTTATGGAATGCTTATATTTTAAATATATTATGTTAGTAAAACGAAAAAACAAGAAAATAGCTAAAAATTTGTCTTCTACAACAACCTCAGCCAATTTGGCCAAAAAAGTAATTCTAATCTTACTCGTTTTGATTATTACATAATTTAACGCACGAAATCGGGTCTTATGTGTTTGATAAAAAAGTTGAGAGATACAATTAATAAGATCAAAATAGAGGTTTTGAAACAAGCTCTTAAATTGTGCAATTGAGATCTACTCCATATTTTATAAATAATGAAATTCACACAATTACTTTCTTGAAGTAAGAACATTCTTTTAGTATGGAAAAAAGGTAAACTTAAAACAAGTAGTGGGTCCCTTCTATATTTTAGCTCCAAAGTGATCATATGATTAAGTTATACTACCTCCTTCTCATTCAAAGATTATCGTGCACTATTCTCCAGTCAACGTAAAACCTTCTTAATCTTTTACTTATATATTCAACATTTATCAAATTCCAATTTTTCTTTTGCGACTTTATAAGATTTTTAATGTAGTTTTTGACTATGTAAATTTTATTTAATAAACAAATTCTAACTACATACAAGAAACAGTTAACTTTATAATCAGTCAAACATCGCAAACCGTGTGAGAACCTTTCTACGGGATGCAGGGAGTGCCATTTTCTTGACATTAACTTGTAATTCGACATTTACTCCTCCGTCCCATTTTACTTGTTCTACTTTCCTTTTTGTGTTGTCCCAAAATAAGTGTCACATTCCCCTTTTCGAAAAGAATTATGTGGTCTACAACACTTCACTTTATTATATTCAAATCTCAATTACAACTTTTACCTTTTCAACCATTTTATTAATAATAATGTCAAGTCAAAGTAGGACACATAAAATGGAGCGGGGGTAGTATTATAGTATATAAGTTTATTTAATAGTTTTACTTGTATGTTTAAAATTTCCAAATCTAACTGTTAGACAAGGTCCATATATCCGAGAAATTGTACTCATCGTCAAATCAAAGTTGCTCAAAACGCAAAGTGATCGCATGGTTTGTGGTGATGGTTTCTGTCATTATGGCTTATTTTGATGTATATTGGGCAGGTTGTCAAGACTGTTCTCGTCCGACTACTGGTTATGCGGCTTTCCTGGGTTCGAATTTAATTTCTTGGAGATCCAAGAAGCAGCCTACGGCCTCCAAATCTTCCACTGAAGCTGAATACAGGGTCATTGATTATACTGTTCAGGACACGCTATTTATTCGATCTGTTGGCTGACATGTGTATTTTCATTTCAGCGCCTGTTCAGCTCCATTGTGATAATGTATCTGCATCATAATTAGCGGTGAATCCCATATAGCATGATCGCAGCAAGCACATCAAAATTCATTACCATTTTGTTCGAAAACGTGTGGCTCATGGGGATCTTGTTGTTAAATATATTCCCACACAGTTGCAGTTAGCTGATATACGATAGTATTTATTAAGAATTTGTCTAGTCAGCGTTTTGAATTTTTACATTGTAATCTGCGCGTTGTTCCCCTGCACAGATTGAGGGTGTAATAATGTATTATCTAGGGATTATTATGTAATTTTCATAACTCTATTTTATTATAAATATGATGCTAAGGCACCCAAGAGGGTAGGCCATTATTTCCTAAATTATATTCTTATGTATAAAATCTAACATCAAAATTATGCAATTTGGTTATCTGACTACGAGTATAACACATCAAAAAAATTAATAAATGAGACAGTTAGAGATATTTATTAAAAAAATTGATAAGTAACATTCGAGAATACTTATGTACCTAAACCGGCCGAGTGGAAAAGTAGTAAAATCATTATTTGCTATAAAAAATTAAATTAAGGAAACATGTGAAAGTTATATCTTATGCTACGTCTGAAGTAACACTTTCATTTTTAATTTCGAATCACATTTTCAATAGACTAAAACAAACTGCAATTTTTAAAATTCTTTCACTTACATGATATAGTATCAAACAAAATTAACAAAATACTATCAATGAATCATGGGTTTACATGAGATAAGTAGATGAAAAGAATCATGGGTTTACATGAGATAAGTAGATGAAAAGAATAACATTTATGCGCTAACTCTTAATGAATCAAAAGAAATTGTGATGTTTGTTCTTAATGAATTCTAGTGTGTATGTTTAATTTCAAACACTTAAATCCGTAGCTTGTAGAAGTTGTTGAATAATGAATTAAAAGTATAAAAAAATTACTAGTATATAGGTTTGATTTTATTTTTAAATTTTTATAGATATATAACGTACATATAATTTTTATAAATATATATAACTGAGAAATTTATGAGCCCCAAGGAACAATGGGTCCTAGGCGCATGCCCCATTGCCCATGCACGGTCCTGGCGGCGGCGGTGGCCGTATGCATGGTGGTGGCAGTATTAGGATTGAAAGAAAAAAAAAATCTAACCATTAATACCATGTGAAATAATGAGAAAAGATATTACAATAGTAATCATGACCGATATATTTATAATTGAGAAGTTGCTAAAATACCAAATATTCTTGAAAAGATATTAGGTCATTTTAACTATCTTAATTAATTTTTTCTTAATTTTTATATATTTTGAATATATTTTTTCCCACAATTTAACAAAAACAGTGTCATTTTTTCATTCATAATTTAAAAGTTGGCAAACTGGCTTTTAAGTGAAACGTACGTTAAGGAGGTCGGAAATTTTTGTCCGGGGACGACCTCCCTGTCTTCTTCCCCAGTCATTGTGTTGCCCAGTTGACTTTCAGTTCTGACTTCTCAATACAAATACAGAGAGCGAGAGAGTAGAAATGCCTAGCAAGAGAGTTCTTCTCTCTATCTCGGCGTTAAATTCAATCACTCTTTACCTCTATTTCTTCTCCGACACCGATCACTTCCGCCATAAGTCCCCCACGAACAACCACTTTCATCTGGATCGAAACCATTCTTGCTCCTCTCCGTCGCAAAAGAAACCATGGCCGGTACTTCCTTCGTACACCCCCTGGTCTCAAAAACCCAATCTGACTCTCGGATCATGTGAAGGTTACTTCGGAAACGGCTTTACTCGCCGCATCGAACTTCTCAGGCCACCCACAGAGCTTCGTCGGAATTATTGTGACGGTGGGAGTTTTGCTGGCGGAGGCTGGTTCAGATGTTTCCATAGCGAAACGTTGCGCAGCTCGATATGCGAGGGAGGGCAGGTTAGGATGAGGCCAGATAAGATTACAATGTCAAAAGGAGGAGAAAAACTGGAGACGGTGATGGGAAGGGGGGAAGACGAGGAAATGCCGGTGTTCCAGGGTGGAGCTTTTGATGTCGGTGTGACTGATAAATCGAAGGCAGGAAAGAAGCTCGTTGAGGATGACGAATTCATTAATCGATATCTACCCCAAGGATCCAAGTTGATCGATTCAATTCTGTTGGCCTCTGAAGATGACTTCCAATGCACTGAGGTTAGCATTTAGGGTTTTAAATTTCATGTCTTTTTAGTCGTTGCTTTGTTTGATCTGTTTCAATATGTTGCTTTTGTCATTTTTTTGAGGGATTGGAACAAGTTAGTGAAATAGGTTTCATTCTTCTACTACTATTAAAACATCTACGACAAGGGTCTAATGACTTAATTAAAACATCTATGATGGCTAGAAAACACATTTTAGTTTTGTTTGTTACATCATTTTTCTGACTAATTCATTTTCCAGTAATGTGATAATTCAATGGTTAGCTACAATGGTTAGGCTCCACAAGTCAACCAATTTTTAAAATATACATTTTGAATGATTTGACTTATTAATACAATAAAAATAATACTTATTTTGAAATATTTTAAAATTGGGTGTTGGAAGAGTTTTCAAGACTGGAGTAAGAGAAAATATTGTATAACTCAATTTTAAAAACATTCGCTATTTATAATTGACGGTAATGAGATTGAAAACCACTTTTAGAACTTTACCTGATGGAGTATATTCCCATATACCCCAGGGGTATCATAATCGCCGGTAGAGAGCACTACGGGTCCATCAAAGGCGAAAAAATACCAAGTCCACAGTCCAAGACTGACCCCGACCGCCGAGGTCGGGAAAACACCAGGCTCAGGAATCAGCCGGACTCGGCGGATAACGAAGTCGATCGGCCCCCGACCCCGGCCCCGAGGTCGGAAGAACATCAGGCTCAGGGATCAACTGAATTCGACAAATTATGAGCCCGACCTCGATGCCTCTGAGGTCGGTACCAAGTCGGACCCCGCAAGTCAAACATTTGGTCAACGACAGTCAAGCACCAGGCGGTCAATTACCTCTGAGGCAGGGACGCGAGCCCGAGTTCCCAGATATCGGCCTCAGTTATCCCCAAGGTCGGGATAAGGCGTCATGTACTTGGACATAATCCGCAAGGATCTATCTTGCAAGGAGACACCGCCACGTCACCCCCTGCACCTGAGGAACACTTCAGAATTATCCACGTGCGGTTACACGAAACTTCTGGCAGAAAATCTGTTAGAAGAATAATCAATCAGCCAGCTATCAAACGTTCTCTCTCCAATCAACTTTACATGTGGCTGCCTCCCATCAAATTAGGCCGTTAGTTTGTTAGATTAGCTTTACACGTGTCCCTCTCCCATTAGACTAGCATCTTTGGCTTGGCCACCAAGTATTTCCCTTTTCTCCTTAGTATAAATATCACCTTCCAACTTGTGGAAAGGGATGCTTAATCTATTGCACTCTTGAGACTTATACACAGAGATTTTACCGATTTAAGATCTGTAATTTCCGATCAGTTCATTCTCCTCTCTATTACTATTTTCGGTGGATTCCGGCCACCCCTGGTCCGACGATCCATCATTACCATTGTATTGCAGACTTGTAGTACTTTACCATTGCATTTTTAATTACTTTAGTATATCAATTACCAATAAATTGAATATATTTGGTAATTATCATTTTAGTTCAAATTTTTCTCCTTTCTAGCAAGTAGTTTGTTTTAGCTTATTTATTTTTCCAAGCTAGAAGGACAGATTCACTCTATTGGTAGGCTAGTAGCTTCAAAATTGCAAACAACTCCCTAAAACTAACCATTGGAGATGCTCTTAGGTCCGTAGTTGGGTATGATACCTAAGGATGAAAAATAAAGTATATATTGAGAACTTGTGAATGTATTTATGAAAGATGAAATGATTTTGTAATTTATTAATGAATTTGATGCATATATGAGAGCGAAAACATTATTGGGAGAAGATTCTCCCTTTAATAATAACAATAAAATAGAAAATGATAGAGAAAAATAATATAACAGAATGTGAAAGTGAGTCACAGTTGGTACTTGGCTGTGATACATAAGGATGAACAATAATATATAGTGTGAGAATTTGTTGATTTATTTATGAGAGATGAAATGATTTTGTAACTTATTACGGAGTATTGAATTGAAGCAAATATGGGTGGGAAACATTATTGCATTATGTAGAGAACATTCTCCCTTTATGTATAGACGGAGTATATAGTATACTTCATATGATATAGTTCTCTCTTTATGTATACATATATAATATTTTTATTATTATAGAATTTAATGTATATATGAGAAAAAAAACATTATTGGGAGGAGATTCTTCTTATGTGAAATAATAAATTGTTAAATGTCACACACCGGAAAAGTTTGGATGAACAAAGTGCTATATTAACACATGTGCTACTCATCCTATCAGGTTGACCTCTTAGGATGGAACCTCGTGTCTTAACATGGTATCAGAACCAAATCGATCCATGGTGTGGGATCCCTTATGGAGAATGATGACACTATTATAAAAAACAATGAAAATTACGGTTGGATGAAAAAAGCGGACCGATGAAAAAAAAATGAATGATGACACGATCCAGACGAAATGTCTGGTCATGAGGAGGGGTGTTAAATGTCACACAACGGAAAAGTTTGGATGAACAAAGTGCTATATTAACACATGGGCTACTCCTCCTATCAGGTTGACCTTTTAGGATGGAACTCATGTCTTAACATAAATACTCCGTAATAAATAATACTTAGATATACTAAGACTTCTATAATTATTATTATTTGGTTTGATGCGTGAGTATTGTCTACTTTAGTGGGTTAAATGAGCATCCATGGAAGTGACCCTTATCCCGACCTTGGGATAAAAATTATATGAAAACATAGTTTAAATGATCCTCTACAGTAACTTCAGCCAATACAACCAGAAAAGTAGAATGCCAATATGTAACCTTTTAATCAACTTTTTTTTCTTCAATTCTTTACAAACAATTTATTTTGCCAATATGTAGAATGCCCTGACTAGTTGTTAATTGGCTTGTTGGTTCACCTACATCAATCAGTTTCGATATCTTTTATAACAGGAAATATGGGTCTGAAGCATTGGTTCCTCTGTTCGAATAGGGTTGTGTCAAGTTGGATGTTTTAGAGTTATTATGGAGATTCTGAGGATTTGGAGAAGTTCGGAGGAATATTTTCATAAAGTTTATTAACGGGATAAGGGTCAGTTTGGTCCTCGAAATTGCAAAAAAGGAGTCAAATAAGTCTTTATATAGAAGATTCTGTCCGGAAGTGTCATTTGAGGTGGCTCCCGGTGGAATTTTTTGATGAAATTTTTTGAGCATCTTATTCATTAAGTCTAGTTTACTCATATCAAATTTCAGATAAAAATTCAATCGGGAAGACATTCAATTGAATTCTTGAAGATAATTGTGCCGTTAAAAGCGCAGTTATCTTCAAGAATTCATTTGAATGTCTTCCCGATTGAATGTTTAGCTGAAATTTGGTATGAGTAAACTAGACTTAATGAATAGGATGCTCAAAAAGTTTTATCAAAAAATTCCACCGGGAGCCACCTCAAATGGCACGTCCGGACATAATCTTCTATATAAGGACTTATTTGACACCTTTTTTGCAACTTCGAGGACCAAACTGACCCTTTACTCGTTTATTAACTCTGTATTCAGGAGCAATATTTATTGCAGAATACAACATTAAATTCTAGTATAGCTTTAAATGAAATCTTACTACAATTTCAAAAGGTTAGTAAAATACTACGTAGAAAATACAATTAATTACTAGTTTACTACTGGGACTTGTTTCAGTGGACCATTTACATCTACTCACATATACACATGTTGATTCTTGATACTTAATAGAGATAGAAATAGTGGTTGTGCTTAGAAAGACGTGAGGGGATGACAATCTTCATGATCTGTATCTGGATTGTAATGTTAAAGGAGTAAAGGAGGTTAATAATGGAGTAATGGTGTCATTTGCCAAGTGTTTTTTTTGTCCATTTGGCAATAGTTATTCGGCTGGGTATCAAATAATTGTTTCAAAAGATTTCTTATCATAATAATATTTTAATTATTTTGTTTCAAAGTACTAAGGTTTTGTATGAATCAATTTAGTTTCATTGAGTTTTCAGTTTGATTTGGAGTAGTATAGATCGAGAAAAATATTTCCAAACTACATCGAGATGTATATGGTTCAGTTTTTATTCATATTAATTTGGTTTAGTTCATATCAAAATGCACACCAACAATTGATCTTTTGAAGCATGTTGTGAGCAACTTTCAGATGCTTGGCTTCTCAATGTGTTTTACGTTTCTGACAAAGTTCATAATTTCAGTGGATTGAGGAGCCAACACTTCTGGTAACACGGTATGAGTATGCAAACCTTTTCCACACTTTCACGGATTGGTACAGTGCCTATGTGACCTCCAGAGTGACCTGCTTGACAATTCGGCCTCATGTTGTTTTTGTGGATGGCCACTGTGAGGTATGTGTCCAAATGAGTTGACTGCCTCTACCAATATTATGTCCTGCAGTTGCTATGCTGTCAAGCGCCATTTTGGTGAAAGTTATTTGGATGAAATGGTTGAATCTGCTAAATTTCTGATTTATATGCTTTGGAGTAGCATTCCATTCAGCCAAATACTAAGCAAGTCTAAAACAATCTATTCATGTTTATTCTGTTGATAAGCAAAATAAGCTGAATGGTTTGTATCATACCCCCTCCCTGGTCGCCCCTCCCCAAACGAAGATAAGAATGGTTTCAAAAGGCTTAACTATTTCTTCTTTTCATGGTATTCATAAAAAAGGGTCACGAATGAGTTAAATATGATCAGTTGAAGACTTGATAAACGATAAAAGTTGAGCTAATGTCTCATAAGACGAAGACTTGCATTAACCAAAATAAAAAAGCGGTGGCTTGCCCCTTTTTCCATAAAGATTTTTGAAACAATGATATTTTGTTAGCTTTCGATCTTCACCCTCTAAAAGCTCGGTAACTTTCATAGTAAATGGTGCATATAGTTCAGAGTCAAATTAGTAAATGGTTCATACTTCATAGTAAATGGTGCATATAGTTCAGAGTCAAATTAGTAAATGGTTCATAGTAAATGGTGCATTGAAAGAAGAGGGTAATATTGTGTTTCTTTTTTCATATTGCATTTCTCAGACACAATTGGAGGAGGTGTGGAAAGCATTGTTTGCAAGCGTCAGATATGCAAAACACTTTAAGGGTCCTGTTTGCTTCCGCCATGCTATCCTCTCACCTTTGGGGTACGAAACGGCACTGTTTAAGGGACTCTCAGAAAACATAAACTGTCGAGGCACTACAGCACATGATCTGTTGCAAAACCCCAAAGACGAAGAGAAAACTTCGTGGTTGGATGAGTTTGGGGAGATGATAAAAGCAGCCTTCGGCTTTCCACCACTCAACGACAGCCCAAGGCCAGAAGTTTCAGGCATTCGTCATCACAGCATCCTCTTTGTTCGCCGGGAGGATTACTTGGCCCACCCCCGACACAGTGGGAAACCAGAGTCAAGGCTTAGCAATGAACAACAAGTGTTTGATGCAATAAGGAACTGGGCAGCATCATTACTGTCATCATCAAACAGTTTCAAATGCAAGCTAAGTGTGGTTAACGGATTATTTGGTCACATGTCAGTAAAGGAGCAGGTTGAAGCAATACAGGACGCTTCGGTCATTGTGGGTGCTCATGGGGCAGGTATGACCCATGCCATATCTGCAGTGCCTGGAACAATAATCCTTGAGATCATTAGCAGTGCACATAGGCGTCCCCATTTCGCCCTTATCGCGAAATGGAAGGGCCTTGAGTACCAGCCCATTATTTTGGATGGTTCCCACGCCGATCCTCGAGTGGTGATTGATAAGCTAGACAGCATTTTGAAAAGTAGTGGTCTGGGATGCTGAATAGAGAACAACATATCAAACCAGTAGGGAATATACATTCGATCAGGCGTCACAATATCAGCTTATCTTCTATATCATTTTATCCCAAGCTTTAGAGGTCGGCTTAACTCATATACCTCCATACACTTTTCAACCAAGGGCTTTAAGAGGATTTAAAGCTCGTTAAGGTTTACATATTTTAAACCTTTGAAATGACCTTTGTTTTCTGTTTAGATGATTTAGAAGGTCTTTATTTTCCATGCAATTTTCAATTGCATTTTCATCTATTTGCAAAAAGACATGTTTGACAGACTGATAAAAGGCTTTTTCTATATAGTATGTAAACGGATCTTTGAATGCAAAATCCTCTTATCAAATTATATTAACGGAAATAAAACATAAAAGTAAAAGTGTGAAGGGGGTAGGTTGTTGTAACACAGGATGTTAGTGAAAAGTGTGTAAAATGAATTCACAAGTCCAAACTAATATGGAGTAAAATTTAATAAAAACAAAAGTCTATTCAGGAAGGCTAAAGATGTAAATAAGATAATAAGAAAATCTAAAGAACCTATATTTTACTTGATGCCAATAAGGATTAATGTGAGCCGTAGATTTGTTCCCAAATTTTAACCAATCACCGAGTGTGCTTTTGGTTTAACAGGTGCTACAATGCAACTATCATAGAATACATTCCAAAATCTTGACAAGAAGTTGAAAAAATTTCAATGACCTACAAAAGTGTGAACCTTTCAAGCAAATCCATATCACAATCACAGAGGGAACGAAAATCACAATTGATATCTTTGGTTTCAAAATACAGAAACTTGGATGCAACATAACTCCGGAGAGCTTGGTCGATCTTACATTTGAATTTCAAACACCAAAAGCAAGAAGCTACAAATTAACCAAGCTAGTTTCTCCATTTGAGTGTTTTGTGTTTTTTGACCAAATACCATTTCAAATTTATAAAAGCTGGCACACAAAATGGAGGGCAATATCATAGGACAATACCATATAATTGAGAGTAGCCATAAATGTAATAGGAATATGTATAACCATAGATAGAAATAAGCAGTGCAGGGCCCCGAAATATGGGTGTAAAATAAACCGATAGTAGGTAGCATGGCAGGACAGGAGTAACCGACTAACAATCTAGACAGAAGAAAGGATGGAAGCGTGCGCCGCCTAGACACTCATTGAAGGCATCGATGACGTCTTCTTCCTCCAATTGTAACATGTCCGGCGTGTCCTGAGGCTGGACTCGTCTTCCTTCGTGCGTGAAACGAGTGGCCTTGAAATCTACACCTTCCAGAGTGCAGTATCCAATGAAGGCTGCTTCAAAAGCTTCGTCCCTCCTGATTGTGAAGAGTTGATCACGCTGGTGCTGCATTTGAATCTTTATTGTTATGTACCCGCTTTCCGTTTTCACTGCCGCGGTTGATGATGACATTTCCTACCTTTCTCCCTGCTCGGAGGCCAAGCAGCTCCGTCCACTACAATATTTCCCACACGCATTACTATATACATACATAGTTCTGATCCGGCCTTTCCAATTCCCAGCCATCAGTTTCTGTGTTTCATTCGAGGTTTTATTGGAATGGAAGAAGAAACACTCTCTAGTCTCTACATGTGATTTCATTTGCATTCCCTAACCTTTTTATTACGACGACTCTTATTCCTCAGAATTTAAAGCACCTCGTTCGATTGACCAAAATAATCTCAATCTCAATATTGAATATCTACGACCCAAGTGACCAAATTATTTTTGGGAAAATGGAAACTAATAATCCAACCTTTTAGCGGTCTTCTTTTAATAATCCCACCTTTTGATTATTCATGAATAATCCAACCTTTGCACCACATTTCCATCCACTGGTCCTTGACCGGTTGATGACATGTTATTCCAAGCTATTTTCTTATCTTTGCAAATCATTATACCATAAATTTCATCTTTCACAAAGATAATATTTTGCAAAGATAAGAAAATAGCTTGGAATAGCATGTCATCAACCGATCAGGGACCAGTGAATGAAGATGAGGTGCAAAGGTTGGATTATTCATGAATAACCAAAAGGTTGGATTATTGTAAGAAAACCGCTAAAAGGTTGGATTATTAGTTTCCATTTTCCCATTATTTTTTTAGCAATTTGATCCTTCTGCATAGTATCAAATTGTCAATAATTTATGTAATGATTATTTTCTTGTTCAATGTTCTTTTTAGCAAATTGATCATTCATTCATTCTACAAGTTATAAATAAAGTACATTAAACATACACATTCACCATAAATTATTACAACTATGACGTAATCAATATTCAATTGTTACAAATTTACTACTTCGTACTACGTAATTTAGCACAACCTTTAGAAAAACTAGCCATCCCATCTTTGCGTTTCTTTCTTCATGATTTTAGATCAGAAGTATAGTACTAATTTATAGATTACGATATGTTGGAGTAAAAATTACTATATAAAATTGTAGAAAGAAATGTAACATGAAAATAAATACGGAGTAATTATTTAGATGCATCATACACGAGTTACAATTTCTAATGTGTCGATCTTTAAATTTTCAAAGGAATATGAAGTTTTAATATTACATTATATTTCAGAAAATAATATTTAAAAAAGAATATACTCTCTCCGTTCTCTAATACATGTCTCTCTTTCCATTTTGGGATGTTCTCCAATACATGTCTTCCTTTCCATTTTTAGAATTTTTTCCAATAAATATACTTATATATTCTCATTCTCTTTACTATTTTTTAATACTTTTTCCAACTTTTTCCTTTGAAAGAATGGCAGGAACAAGACCTCCGAGTTTGATATTGACGAAAATAAGACCTAATTACAATCTACTCCAACCTTACCAGCCTCTTCTATCTGAACCAAAGCTCAAGTACGAGAACTTGCTCTTCCATTTGAACCAGAGCTCATGCACAAGGATGGTCGTTCGAATTTCTGAACCTGTGCTTCAACTCCGGGGAATGGAAACAACGTCCAACGGCAGTGCATCTGGCTTAGCTTGGAGGCTGGCAATGACACCTCGCCTCTGCCGCTTCCTTTCTCCGCCGCCTAGTCCGGCTCCGCCCTCGTCGTGGGGTGGAATCTCTTGATCTTCTTCTCCTCTTTTCTTTTGTCCGCAAAAATCCGCTACAATCTCGACACTAAATCCCAACCAGGAGACAAAGATCGATCTGAAGCTCCTAATTTTGTTTGTGCCAGCACCTAGGGTTTCCAATTGGCTGTCGGCGACGGTTAAAAAATGGTTGCGAAGGCCAGGAGGGGGTGGGACAGTGGGGCACGGTTGTTCGAAACTGGTAATTGCAGCGATGGATTGGTGGAGCATGCGTGTCGATATTGGGGGTAGTGGCTTCACCGTGGCTGGTGGCAGAATCGGGTGGTTGGGGATGGATCGAGCTTGGGGGGTTGGATCTAGGCTGGTGGAGGCTAGGAGGGGAGTCAGGAACAGGGGCGGGCGGGTGACAATGACGGTTGCCAGGAGGGGCGGTGGCAGTAACTTGTCTGGCAGTAAAAGGGAGGGCATGGGGGCTGGGGCGTGGTGGTGCTGGAGGGGCATGGGGTTGGGTTTCTCAAGGGAGGGGGCTGGAATGACGCAAGGAAGGGGGCCGGGGTGACGCATGGAAGGGGCTGGGGTGGGAGAGGGGGCTGGGGTGTAGTTTTTGCGGCGACGGTTGCTGGCGGTGGCTAAAGGTGGGTGTAGCTGGCAGTGGTGGTCGCCAACAATGGCAGTCGGTGGCGGTCGCCGACAGCGGGGGGTGGTGTTGGCCAGCGGTAATTATTATCGAACCTGGGTAATTGTAAATGGTTGAACCCGATAATTTTAACTGTAAGAGTGCGCGAGTCGGGTATATGTAAGTGAATGGGTTGGGCAACTCTAAGCGGATGAAACGGTAACAGTAACTGGACGAGTTGGGTAATTGTAACTGTACGAGACGAGTAACTGTAATTGTAATTGGACGAGATGAGTAACTGTAATTGGACTATTTGGGTAACTGTAACTGGATGAGGCGAGAGATTGTAACTGGACGGGTCGAGTAACTGTAACTGGGCGGATCGGGTAACTGTCACTAGACGAGTGGATGTTGATCACTAGACGAGCAAACATTGGTCACTGGATGGAGTCTGAGGTCACTAATGGTTTTTGAATTGTTTTTGGTCACTGGCGAATGTAACTGTAACCGGCGGCACATAACTAAAATTTGTGGGGTGGGTAATTGTAACTGGTGGCAAATAATTGCTATTAATCAGATGGGACGGCGATAGTCACTGAAGCTATAGTAACTAAGACGATATCACTGAAGCAATAATAGTAACTCAGACGATGGCCACTAAAGTGGTAATAACTGGGACGATGATAGCCACTGGAGCGTTAGTAACTAAGACGATGTCACTGAATCAGTAATAGTAACTGAGACGATGGTCACTAAGAGAGCGGTAGTAATTGAGGTGTTGGTCATTAGAACATTTTCACACAATTTTCATATCTTAATATTTATCTTCAGAAATAATATTAAAATAAAAAACATTAATAAAAAAACATTTAGAGATTGCAAACATTTTCACCGGTGTATTGTTAGAGATTGCATGGATCATATTAAATAAAAAAAAAACCTTGTTAGAGTGCATTGCTACGGAATCATATTAAATATTAAAAAAAATCTTGTTATGGTGCATTGCTACGGACTTGGTATCTTACAGACTGCATTTTTAGTTAGCTACGGACTTACGGTGCAGCGATAGATAAGGAGGGCAAATTAGTAAAGAACGTGTTTCTTAGTCACTTTTTCGGAATTTAAAAAGAAAAGTCTCGTTTTTGTCCATTGCTTATTTTTTAATACGTAGTAATATTTATGACAAAACTCTTTTTCCTTTACACGCAACACACTACACCTTTTATCTCAGGGAAAAATAATTCAAATACCCCAAACTTTGAAGGAGTGTGAGATGAACACCCCAATATCTTGCATATGTAATTTAAATACCCTGACTTTATATACAAAGTTATTTTAGCACCATAGGCAAATACTATTTCTTTCAAAAATGTAAATTTATGGTGTTGATTTCATAATTTAAAATATTTTAGAATGCATGAAGACACAATTCACAATTAACATTCTAAACTTTCATTGCGAAAAAAATAATAATAGCCCCAATCTATATAATTGCAATACTTTTGATTTGCTATTCTAAATTATGCAATTAACCCTATCAAATTTACATTTTTGAAAGAAATAATAAATGACAATGGTGCGAAAATAATTTTTTACATAAAGTTTAGGGTATTTAAATTACATAGCAAGTTTGAGCTGTTTACCTCACACCCCTTCAAAGTTGGGTATTTTTATTATTTTCTCCTTTATCTTACCCTTATTAATCTGT